GTATTGTTCAGTCCCCGTAGTATTGTTCAGTCCCATGATGATATCTTCGACTCTATTCTCGTAAAAAAGTAGGGGCTTAAATCTCCAATTACTTACTGCATTTTTTATTTTTAAGGAAATGGGCTACAGTCGTGGTGGTTGCATCCCCACACCAAGTTACCAAATCGTTGTTTCTATTCCTACCGTTAACACTTTGTATTAAAAAAAAAAAACAGATAGGGGCATGTCTTTCCCACTGAATTTCTCAAAAAATAAATAAAAAAATGAATTTCTCAAAAAAAAAAAAAAAAAATGAAGTTTCTATAGGGGCTAAGTATTATAAAAACAAAATAAAACCTCACTTCAAATCCTCATCAGGAAAGCACTTTCACCTACAAAAATCTCTATGATGGCTCTAAAATGGATTTGCAATATCAAAAATAAAATTTGAAAACTTAAAAAATGTATAGATCTTGTGGATCTACAGACACTTATTTTGAGGACGAATGGACACATTTTTTTAGAACTTGAAATCCTAGTTTTTTTTTTTACAACCATAATGTTTAAGCCTGGATGATCAACGAGAAGGTTTTCCAATGCTTGAATTACAATGTTTGATGAGGTGAGGCTTTAGTTATTTTAATAGGGCTGCAGCCCTCTCAAACTATTTTCCTTTTGACAAAAGAGTTAGCTCTTATTTTCCCATATTTGTAACCTCCGGTAATGAACAATAAAGAAAAAATGCTTCGTACAAAAAAAATCTTAATCTTGCTGGAGACGACATTAATATAGAATAATTTTTTACTTTTTAATAATTAATAAAATATTAATATTTTTTTTTAAAGGTGTGATTTGTATAAGGCTGAGGCTCTAAACAAATAAGGCCGCGCCTACAAATAGTGCTGAGATATGTTCTTTCGACATCAAAACGATCTTTTTTTGTAAATTTTTAACACACGCGTTAATTTGATTGCTTAGGGCCTTGCCTTTAAATAAACTTTTTCTTTTTCTAAACATATACATTCCGTCCCTTTCTAACAAAAGAAAGTAATCTAGCTCAAAAAAATTTCTTATGAAAAACAAAGGTAAAAAGTGTCAAAGAATAGGCTGATGAAATAAGGAGTAGCCTAACAAAAACCAAAAAAAAATTAGATAAAATACATAAATTGATTATTTATTTTTAATATAAAAAAATCACAATTACTGGATGTCAAATTGGATAATTTCGACACTAGAAACTATCATTACCTGCAAGCATAGTATATGCACAATTTTGTCATCTCACATTCAAACTAAAATCCATTTTTGTATTTAAGGTTCTTTCCATTACTCTAAAATCCATTTTTGTATTTAAGGTTCTTTCCATTACTTTAATCTTCAACTGTTTTGTATTTTTCTTGCTGGAATCTTTTTCTCATTTATTTCTCCTTTTACGCCTATGCTACATGACAGATTTTGAGATACAACATGACGTGGCTGATCTCATCGTCAATCAGTTTTAGACACGTGTACGGTTCATCTGGCATGCGAGGTCCTTGTAATCAGTAGTGCCTTGTAGCTTAACCATGGTTAAGCACCCCCCATATCTAAGGCGAGAACCCCGTGTCGAACGTGTGAATGGTAGCCTTAACCATGATTGAGTGTCTTTTTTCATCGCGATTCCTAACCGTCCGATTAATGATGCTAGAAATGACAAACATGCCCCTGGTTTCGTCTAATAAGATCCAAAATATTATAAAAAGAAAAAGTTTATATAAGGTTGCAAACTTAAAATGTAGAACTACGGATGCACCTCAAAAATCCATAGAAAAAAGTTATTTCAATATTGAAAAACCTTATGGTTGATCATTTCGACATCGAGATGTAAATAAAAAGATTTTGAATCTCAGAAATAATGCATCTTACAACATATCTACTGTTCATTTTCAAGATTTTTATAAGTTTATAGATCTACTTGATTTTGATCATTTTTTTAATTTAAAATTTTATAATTAGATATAAAATTAGATTTTGAGATAATCCTAAGAACATTTTACATCAAAATTGAGAAATTATCTTATAGGACCCTCCCCACCCATGTGTGTAGGACTCCAAATGATCACCATTAAATTTGGCACGGATCTATAGAAAAGTCAAGTCCCACACCCATGTGATAACTTTTCTAGAGATCAATGCCAACTTTAATAGTGATCTTTTGGGGTCCTACACACGTAGGTAGGGGAAAGTCCTATAGGATCATTACTCATCAAAATTATATATTCTGATAAAATTTGAAGGTGCATCTTAGTTGGATTGTTTAAGGTTGCAACCTTATGGAAACCACACCCATTATAAAAAAAGAGAATGGCGCCCACGCTACTAAAGAAAAGGGCCTCCTTATTTAGATTTATAACTTTCATGCCAGGTTTCCATGCTTTTATAAAAAATTAAAAGTTGAGTTGGCAATGGGTCTAGTAGCTCGGTCTTAAAAACTAGAGCAGAGGCTACATAATGTGGCCCGTGGGTCAAGTTGGGCTTGGGCCTAGGCAACTATAAGGCTGCCTTAACCTAGACGTTTTTTTTTTCCACAATTTTTCCCTTTAGGTTCATTATGTTCGGCCCAACCTAACTAGACAAAGTTTAGCAAATGAAATGCAAGTTTAGTAATAATAGAAGTAGAGACAAGGAAGTAATTGAAATCGACGGCCAAGAAATACTAAAAAGAGTGCACTTTTAATATCTTTGGTCGAAAATTCAAAAAAATTGAGAGATTGAGGAAGATGTCGCATATAGAATTACTGCGTGAGCGAAGTGGAGATGGATAATTGCACTTTTGTGTGATAGCTGCATATGCTAATGAAGTTAAATGGCAAGTTCTATAGGGACAATCGTGAGACCAACTTTGCACTATAGGACGAAATTTTGGGTGGTCAAAAAATAATATATCCTAGAATGAGTATAGTGGAGATGGGAGATGTTGAGATGGATGAGTGGCAAGACAAGAAATGATAAATTTGAAATGAATATATTCAAAACAATTTAAGTGTGACACCAATAGTCGATAAGATGAGAAAGAGTAGACTTAGGTGAGCTGACCATGTGTAGCACAGATCTAGTACAACTCTTGTTAAGTTGTGCGAATTACTTCAAGTGAAAGATTAAAACAAGGCAAGAGGTAGGCCCAAAAACACAAGGTTAAAAGTAGTGAAAATATATGTGGACTTATGACCTCACTAATGGTATAACCCCTCGATAGAGCAAAATAACGGACCGAATCCAATCAGTTGGAAAAAAGTTTTGAAAATGATGATGATGTCCGGTCTGACCTAACCGGGTCTAGATAAGGCCAAGAGCAATACCCATTTAGCCCAATCCATGTCAGCCCTATACGGTCCATATCGAGTATGGACCAGATTCTCCTCTAGTGTACATATACCCTACAACACTTGTGTATACTTTTGCTTTGACACTTTGCTTTAAACACATGTAGGGTACCTACCACCAAAGGTATTCTCCTATGACAAATAGCATGCTAGAGTATTGTAGTATTAGGCTTTGTTTTCATAGCAAAAAAAAAAGGAAAATTACCAAAATCGTATACCTAGTGTGTCTTGGTTAAGAAATAAAACCATACCTCAAAAACCCCACATATTAGCAGCTCCATTGCCACGACCCCATTAATAGCATGAATCCCTATTTTTGCCGTTGATTATGAATTTTGTAGCTCTAAAAATAACGCAAGAAAATAGATATAGACCAGAACTAGATAATATGTTATAAAATCTATTATTTTAAATATTTTAAGATCTTTTTAGTTGTTGAGATCCATATGATTATTTGAGATTTTTTTCGTTGATGAGATAGAGATGATCAGTTTGAGGGCTTTTCAACACAAAAACTACTGGTTTTAACTACAAAAAGTTATAAAGCCTTCTCCAATGTTGTATGTTTATTCATCTCTTTTATATTTACGTAAACGACTATTTATTTAAAATTTTAAATAAAATATTTATTAAAATGCCCTAAAAAATTGTACTATGCAATATTATCTCTTTGGCTAATTTAAAACTTTCATCAAAATGTACATGATACATAAGTTTGAACAGTTGAAAATTTGTGAAGTGTTTAATACTTGAGAATGACACATTTGCAACCACTGGATTTAAAATCTATTGGACAAGAGTGATGTGACATCGTTGTACCAAAAATAAAATGTATCTCTTTATATACTTTTTCATTATATACCCAAAAAAAAAAAAGTCTAAAATTTATTCACAATAATGGATCATGAAAAAGGGTCGCATATCTTTGTATGAGTTCTAAGAGTCATAAAAGGAAACGTATTGGGTGAGCCGGTCAACTCACACATTCTTGGGTTGTCTCCCTGTGATATATATCTCTAAGATGTATTTCCAATCCAAGGTTTTAGGGTTCAACAATCTCAACCATGAAAATAATCGGAATTTGGAATTTTTCCTTTTCGAAAAACTATAAATTTTGTTTTCCGAATTTCTTTTTCCACCGTCCATTTTTACTTTTAGTGGAAGTAGCATTTCGACCGCATGACAATACCTGAGGGCTCACTCACCAAAACAGTGTCCCACGTAAAAACCGTGTCCTTCAAATATGGATATTATAAACGACTACTGAAATTTCGCCGAAAGTTTGTACGAAAACCTTGTGCTTTAAATATGGATATTTCGAACGACCACTGAAATTTCGCCGAAATGTTTTACGAAATTCTCCAGAAATGAAAAGCTGCCTCTATGGAGTCCAGCTCTCGAGGGCACACTGGTAATTCCGATGCATAATGGCAGTTACGTCAATTTTCCCAGTAGATATCTGACGGCTGGAACGCAGCCTATCCGTTGCCCCTGGGTCATTCAGACCGTTCGATCTGCCTAGCCATTTCTACGTGTCTTCTCTCTTCTTACGCTTTGCTAAAAATTAAATAACCCTTCTATTTACCCAAATTCCCATTTTTTTAAAATAAAATAAAATAATATATAAACTCTTTATCTTAAATTCCTTCTCCCCATCTTTGAAAGAAGAATACCAGTTAAAGAAACATATTAAAGAAACATACAGATCCAGGTATTTTTGTGGGCAATTTTTCTTCTATATTATCCCTATTTATTCCCTTTTTTCACTGAATTCGACCTCATTAAATGGAATTATAGTCCATTCTCATGGATTTCCCTGAATATTGTAAGTATGTTCTATTTATTTGTGTGGGTTTTTGACCTGCAATGAAGAAATGAAATTATAATCCTTGTGGTTCAAATCACCCCATGGATTTATGTATTTTTCATGCTTTTTAAGGATAAATAGAGGCCTTTTCAGGCTATGATCAGGGAATCATTCAACTGTTAAGGAAAGCGGTGGTTTTAGCATGGATACTGAGGGGATTTTCCTGTAACAATTCAGATAGTTATTGAATTTTGGATTTCGACTGTTCTCAAGAGTCAAGGGTTCGTTATGTATTCTGCTGCTGTGTTTCTTGGGAATCACTCGATCCCACAGCGAGTGATTGATGAAAAACGCATGTGGGTTCTCAGAGAGGTCTCATTCCATCCTCACAGCAGTTTCAGGCGCTTTAATTGAGTAGGCAGATTAAAATTAGTGTTTTGGGCATTTGGGTATTAGAGTTTGTATCGGTTTTTTGTGATAAGGTTTTGGGTTTTTTCTCAGCGTGGAGATTGATAGGCAGCACTGTGAATTGAAGTTGGTGGCAGAGTTTTTAAGGTTTAGGGTTAGACGGTTTCAGGTATTGGGATGGGGTTATTGGTGTACTTGGTGTTCGGACTGGATTTTGGATATTCAGGTTCTCTAATTTGGTTTTGGGTTCTCAAATTGATCCTACTCTAAATTAATGAAGGTTCATAGGGGATTTTATTGATAGGGGAAAAAGTTGGCATTTGTCCAATCAGGCTTTCTATTTAATTTATTCGAGTAACTTTTTGAGATAAGAAAATCAAATAAGGATTTCTACTCTGTGCAATTGTATGGGTCATGCAATTTGAGCATTTCTGATCTGGCATCAGGGACTGAAAGGTAGCAGCTATTTGATGTTCTTGGATTGAGCACTTGCTTTCAGGTTTTTGTTTACTGGAAGTGGGTTATGGTTTAAGTTATGATTGTGGGGTTTGGAATTTGTTCTGATTGACTCTTTAAGATATCACATTAAAGATATTTTGATCAAGGTTATTGGGTTCTGTATTGAGAAATTTGGTTTCTGGTCTTTGGCTAGGGTTCGAGAGAATAGGATCAAGGTTGTGTTTGGTCATTGAGGAGTTGTATCAAGGAGAGTTGGGGTTCTTGTATTATGAAAAGCTTCAAGTTCTCAGGATCACATTTTGGGTTTTGAGTTTTGGGTAGACAAATTTTCAGCTTTTGAGTTTTGGGTAGACGAATTTTCAGCTTTTGGGCTCTCAAGCTTTTTGGCTTTTGGGTTTTAGAAATTATATTAAGGGGAGTGGGGATCAGCCATAATTCACAGGTTAGCAAATGAGAGGTTCAGAATGAGTGGGTTTGGAAAGGTTTCTGGTCGATGGAATCCCCTGACAAGAGGCTCTCGGAGATAGTAGACATAGTGAGATCATGGATCCCTCGAAGACCCGAGCCTCCACATGTTTCTCGAGACTTTTGGATGCCCGATCGAAGTTGCAGGGTTTGTTACGATTGTGACTCTCAATTCACAATCTTCAATAGAAGGCACCATTGTCGAACTTGCGGTCGTGTTTTTTGCGCAAAGTGCACCTCAAATTCAATCCCTTTATCAGTCGATGACCAGAGGATCAACCGGGAAGAGAGGGAGAGACTTAGAGTTTGCAACTATTGTTATAAACAATGGGAACAAGAGGTAGCTTCTTATGATAATGGGATCCGATTGTCTAGTCCAGTTCTCAGTCCTTCTCCATCAGCTACTAGTTTGGCGAGTTCTAAGTCTAGTAGTGGTAACAGTAGTAGCAGTATTGGTTCAACACCTTATTCAACTGGGCCCTATCAACGTGTCAATTATAGCTCTGGGCTTGGTTTCAGTATGTCTGCTGGATCGGAACAGTGTTCAGATAAGCTGCCCGAGATGCTGACACCGAGGAGAGATTCAAGCCCTGCCAAAGAAATTAGAGACCCGATGCCTGATCATTTTGGGTTTTGCATGAACAGGTATGTTCTCCCTCTCCCATACTACCATTGCTTCATTAGTTTCTTTCTTTCTTTTCTTCTTTTTAATTGCGATTGGTTGATGAGTTTTGAAACCCTAATTGAGTTTAACTGTAACAATCTGCCTTAGAATTGTAGTACAATGTTTTTTGCATTTTATCTTTTAATTCATTAATTGTTGGTGGAAAAGACACAGTAGCTAGAAATCTAAGAATTCAATCTGCAATAAGTTGTTTGATTTAACGTGTGATCAAATTGTTTACCTGAATAAATTAAACACTGATCCTTAGTGCCTCATCCTTGATAGAGTTTTGTGTACCTCAATAATCGCCGACATGTTTCCTTTCCAAGTCGTTGCTGTATTTCACTCTGCCACCCCTCCATCTCATTTTAGGCGAAGAAAAAAGAAAAAACTTGAAGAACATGAATCTTTAGCCTTCTACTGTCTTGATACAAGAAAAACAAGAATTCCCTCGCCAAATACTGTAGATGGCATGTTTTGGTTGACTTTTGGCTTTTTTGAGTTGGGTTCAAGCCCATGACCTGAAAGTCGCAACATCAAATGCCTTCCAGCAGATCACCTTTTTGCTTATATATATGTATATAGGAATGTATATAGGACACGGTTTCTATGCGGCCAACCCGCATATTGTAGAAATGCGGGTTTGGCAATAAATATATTTTTTAAATATAAGTTGATCCTAAGTTTGAGAGAATATATAATCTTTAACATGGAGATCATGAATATGAAAAAATAAATAAAATTGAAAACTAGAAATAATAATTACATTAAGAAACATTTGGACCATTAGTTATATTTGTTTTTAGATGGACCACCTATTTGCGTCCATCTTTAAGATTGATGCTTTATACCTCTGGATCGCATATTGTTTCATGCGGTCCAGCCCACATGAAACAATTTTCCATATGCATCTCGTATATCCGTGAATGTTTATCCCAATTCTAGCTAAAGACCTTGATGCCTCCTTTATTGTATCAGTTCCAGTGATTCGCCCTTACCTGGTTATATAGTTTGGGGGTTACTTTAATGTCTGTGTGGTTTGCTTTTGAGAATTTTTTAAAATCAAATTTCTTCCCTTTTTCTTTCTCTTGAAAGTCTTTTTGGCCATGTCAGGAGCGATGAAGAAGAAGAAGAATATGCTAAAAATCATTCGGACTCTGAAAGGAGGCATTTTCATCAGGCTGGTGAATATTTTGCCCAAGATGAATTCATTGACATTGATCATGAATATGCCCCATTTACTCATCAAAATGATCAAGACCATGCATCACGCAAACTTCATCCCTCTGATTATATCTTTTCCGAGCTCCAAGAAGAAGACCCTTTGGGAGAGGACCAAACCATCAATGTGAGTTCTAAAGAGAATTTCAATAATAAATCTTCAGGTTCTCCTAGGAACATTAGGGCAAACTCACAAAATCCTGTTGCACTTGAGAAGGAAGAGGGGGAGGTGCATGATACTGGAGATGAATGTGATGCTGCTTCCTCCATATATGGAATGGAGACCAAGGATTCAGAGCCTGTGGATTTTGAGAATAATGGGTTATTGTGGCTTCCTCCTGAACCAGAGGACAAAGAAGATGAGAGAGAAGTTGGGCTATTTGATGATGACGACGATGAAGGTAACTCAGGGGAGTGGGGTTATTTGCGTTCCTCAGGCAGTTTTGGGAGTGGAGAATATAGACATAAGGATCGTTCAAGTGAGGAGCACAGGAAGGCTATGAAGAATGTGGTGGATGGGCATTTTAGGGCTTTGGTGGCTCAGCTTTTACAAGGAGAAAGTCTGCCCATTGGGGAAGAAGGGGACAAGGAGAGCTGGTTGGAGATCATTACTTCCTTGTCATGGGAAGCTGCAACACTCCTTAAGCCAGACACAAGCAAGGGAGGGGGAATGGATCCAGGTGGATACGTGAAGGTCAAATGCATTGCTTGTGGCCTTCGAAGTGAGAGGTAAGTGTACTATTTTATGATAGTTTAGGCAAGAAGAGAGAAAAAAAAAAGAAGGAAAGAAAAAAGTATATCAAGTAAATTGTGGAAAACAGGAGCTCATCAACATTATCAATGTCCCATGAAATGATGGACTGTGACATAAGTGGGAGTGTGGGACCCACCATTGGAGTCATGCGTTTTTCTGGTGGGTCAACTCTCTCCATCACCATCCAACATTTCATTGACTGGTCATGAGCCAAGGAGTTGTATAGTATGCTCTTGTGGCTAACCCTACTTAACCTTCACCACCAGAGATTTTGCTATTGGCTACAAATAGACCTCCTCTTGTTAAAGTTTAGGCTTTTTTTCACAGCATGGTGGTCAAAGGAGTGGTCTGTAAGAAGAATGTTGCACACCGACGCATGACGGCAAGATTTGAGAAACCCCGATTTTTACTCCTTGGTGGGGCTCTTGAGTATCATCGAGTTTCAAATCAGCTGTCGAGTGTTGATACATTGTTACAGCAGGTATTGATGTGGAGAGAGAGAGAGAGAGAGAGAGAGAGAGAGAGAGAGAGAGAGAGAGAGAGAGAGAGAGAGAGAGAGTACGTACGTACGTTACGTTACGTTCGTTACGTTACGTTACGTTACGTAGGTACGGTAGGTAGGGTAGGGGTAGGGGGTAGGGGGTAGGGGT